GGGCCTGCTGACACCTGGGTCTCAGACTTGGGGCCCCTTTGTACCATATCCCTCCCCCGAAAGGGAGGCCCGAGTCCCAAGGGCGAGAAGGACAGACCCATCTCCGGGTGGCCCTCTGCCGGGTGCCACTTTCCCAGGATGCTGGCTCCTGATCGCCCCCTCACCCCCAGAGCAGCTGGCAGGAAGAGGGCCTGTTTGTCTTCTCTTCACACTAAAGCTCCAGGTGGAGCTTCTCAGACAGGTGAGCCTTTCACAGAGAAGCGGGGCTGTCAGAGAGGTCGCGGGGTTTCCGCTGGAGGCCGCTTTGTCCAGGATTAAGCAGACGGGGGCTGAAAGGAGGCGCCAGGGTTTCTGGCTCCTCGCAGCCTTTCTTCCGTCACACAGGCTCCTCCCTCCGCGGCCTGACACACCTGGTTCTCTTCCCCTGACCCTGCTCAGGCAGCCGTGCTGCTCAGGGACACACCTGTGGGCCTACCAGGGGGCCAGGAGGCTCACCTTGTCTTCACAGTCCGCCTGTCCATACACCTAACCTTCCATTTTTCTCTTCATTTGTCCATCCACTCATCTGTCCATCCCATTCATCCATCCATCCATCCACCCATCCACCCTTCTGTCTATGCGTCCATCCATCCATGTGTCCATCCATTGTCCATTTATCCACCCATCTGTCCATTTGTCCATCCATCCTTCTGTCCACATGTGCATTCATCTGCCCATCCTCCCATCTGTCCATCCGTCCATTCATTTGTCCATACATCCTTCCCAATTCTGGGCCCTAACTGCCTAAATTCCTAACTCCCTTCCCCCTCTGCCCTCATCCTTGGTTTCATCATCACAGACCAGAAAAAGAGAAATGAGAAAATCCAAGTGTCCTGACATGGAGGGCTCTGGGGGACACAGCCAAGATCCTAAGAGGTGGCTGTGACCAAGATTTCCAAGAGCTGGGCGGCAGCCTCAGGAAATTTTCAAGGATGGGGCAAACACAGCCCACTCCCCATCACCAATTCTACCTGGATCTGGCCCCAAGGGCTGCCCTCAGAATCCAAGTCCAGGGAACCAGCACCTCGTCCTTTGGGAAATTCTCCAGTGGGCCACTCAGGTATACATTCGATGTATAAACAGACCCCAGGAGATGAGACGGGGGTGACAGGGCCCAGAACACTGGCTGCTGGGGAATCCACATCCGTACCTGAGGGGTAACGGCTCAGACTGCCACCTCTGGTCACAGGGGGGTGAGCCCTTCATCTGCCACAGGTGGGTAATCTCTCATCTCCCCCACCCCATGGTGGTTGTCCCCTCGTGGGCACCCAGAGATCATGACTTGAGATCCCAAAGCCATCTGCACTCTCCCTAAGGGTGGTAAAGAGGGGACAGGGTTAGTTGCCTGAACTGCCCTAACCTGGAGCGGTGGTGTCTGCCACACACACTCACTTAGCCCTCCTAGCAACATAAGCCTCTCCCCACGATGCCCCCGAAGTCCCCCAGCTCCTCCAGGCAGGACAGGGAGCAGGCGGAGGAAGTACACAAGAGTTAGCGGTCCAGGGCCTGGGAGCTTGAAGGTGGTACAGACGGCTTCTGTCCTGTTCCTGGCTGTATCCCTCACCCAGCCTGGCTTAAATATTTGAAGGATGAATGCAGCTGACAGGCAGAGCCTGGCTGGCCGGGCAGGCAGCCTTGGCTGTCCCGGTGTCCTGCAGGCGAGCAGGGCCCTACCACATGGAGATAAGACCTCCCTCCACCCTCCATAGAGCCTGTTCCACACGGGTCCCTCTCAGTCAAGCCTATGATTTGGGTTTCTAAATTTGGGGGAATCTGGGAACTCATGAGGCTCTCAAAAAATGAAAAGAAAAAAAAACCAATCACAAGTCCATTTTCAAAAGACCAAATGGAATTTTACTTTCTGGCCTCAGCTGGGTCTACAAGTCCCTGTATTGGCCCTGGCTGGCCTCACTGAGGCAACTCAACCATGCCGGCTTGCTCCTGCCTCAGGGCCTTTGCACTGGCCATTCCCTTGGACTGACACTCGTTTCAGGCCTATGACCGTGAGGGCCACTCTTTCATTTTTTCTGGTTTCCATTAACTGTCACTTCCCTGACCACCCTGTCCACTCGCACCCATCTCTGTTTTAAGGGCACTTAACAATCTGTCTAGCGTTATATCACGTATTTAAGTTGGTGACTGTCTCTCCCACTAGAATGCCAGTTCTATGGGGGCAGGGACCACCTTTGACATCATGTTCACCACTGTGTCACCCACGAGCCCCAAAACTGCATGACATACAGTAGGTGCTCAGTAAGTATTGGTGGGATGATTCCCAGATCTTCCTTTGGCTTGGGAATTACTAGGAACATTACCATCTTTGCTTCACAGAGTGGGCAAGAAAAAAGAAAAAACCTATGGTCAAGATGGGGGGTGGTGGTCAGGGGTTGACTCACACCCAGCCTGGTCTCCAGTGCCTTTTAGGTCTTGGGGGGCAATGTTGCAGCCAGCCAGTTACCCTATATCCATGCGGTACTGTCCAGAAGGTAAGTTTAATTTATTCACAAAAAAGTAGGGGGAGAGTGGACCTCTTTGTAGAGGGTAAGCAAATTTAACATGCACGTCCAGCATAATAAATACGGTGACAAGCCTGTGAGGACCTCAGTGACCTGGGGGTGGGGACAGAACTGCAGCTCACCCTGCCCCCCTCCACCCGCTGGGGCGTGTGGTTCCAATGTTGACCGGGAAGGCAGTGCCGGGAACAGGGTGTCAGAACAGAGATGTCTACCCCAGGCTGAACCCCAGGCCCACAAGGGGTGCCAAAGCAAACCCGGCCCTGCGTGCAGCCAGCATCTTCCTGGGCATTTGAAACCATTGGCTCCAAAACACAGGAGAGCTTTCTGTCCTTTTGTGCAAGATTGGCAGCTGGTATTTTTGCCTACATCTGCTCCTAGGAAGCATTCTCAGTGTGTGTGTGTGTGTGTGTGTATGCTAAGTCACTTCAGTTGTGTCTGACTCTTTGTGACCCTATGGACTGTAGCCCACCAGGCTCCTCTTTCCCTCGGATTCTCCAGGCAAGAATACTGGAGCGGGTTGCCATATCCCCCTCCAAGGGATCTTCCCGACCCAGGGATCAAACCCACATCTCTTATGTCTCCTGTATTGGCAGGTGGGTTCTTTACCACTGGCACCACCTGGGAAGCCCCCAATCAACTATACTCCAATAAAAAATTTAAAAATAAAAAAATACATATATTAAACCCAAAAATAAAGTATGTTTAAAAAAATTTTTTTAATAAAATTTTAAAACCCACAAAGATAGTTAATTAGCCACACAATGAAAAGTAGGATAATGCAAGGTTTAAGGGTAGCGACCCAGGAGTCTAATTCCCTGGGTTCTAATCCAGCAAAGTCACTAACCTCTCTGTGCCTCAGTCTCCCCCTCTGGAAAATGGATCTAACAAGAGCACCTACATACTTCATAGGGATATCAAGAAGATGAAATAAGTTGGCAGAAGTAAAGAGCTTTAGGACAGTTCTTAGCACCTGGGAAGGCTGTCTAAACGCAGATGTCATTACCTGTGTAGATAAAGCCCTAAGTCTTGCCCTCAAGCCAAATTAAAAAGATTAGAGACACAGCTCAGTTCCATACCTGGCATCTAGTTAGCAAGGAGAGGGAAAAATAAAATCAAGCAGGACAGCCAAGACAAGTAAGGCAGGAGCGCTGTTCCTGTGGCGGCTCCTGGCTGGCAGGAAAAGCATCCAGAAAACCTTCTATAAAGCAAATTCTGGGCGACCCAAAGAGTAAAGGGGAAGCCTGCTTCTCTGCCCCATCCTCCAAGCCCCATTGTGTAGGACACCAGAGGAACTGAGTCTCAACGCGAGCAGCCCAAATAACCCCCATTCAACCGTGCCAAGTCTGAGACACTCGTGCAGGAAAGCTGGCGCGTTCGGACAACAGGATCAGTTTCACTGCCAACAGCCGGGGTCACACCTATCGATCCCTGGAAGTCCGAATGCCTCTCCCGCCCCCTCACCCACAAAGAGAGACCAAAGTTCGAATTCAACACATGATTTTGGTCTAAGACAAGTGTTTTCCAAACTTTGCTGCACTAGGATCGCCTTTTTAAAAATCGTGATGTCCAGCTCGCAGCCTCTAATAAATCAAATGAGAATGTCTGGAAGTACGAGGTGGGTATGGGAATTTTTTTTTTTTTTTAATCTCCCAGAGATTCCCATGCCCTCTCAAGGCTGGGACGCACCGGAGCAAAGAGCAAGGGAGACACCAGTGACATTCCTGTCTGTAGGCGGGAGGTGAGATAACCATTCCTTTCGGTTCTGGGGAGATTTTCCAACGAGCGGGATGCATTTACTGCCTTGTGAGGGACCTCTGAGGGTCGGGGGCCCCAGGAAAGTGGTGCCAGGCTGCAGTCGTGCTGGTACACCCCCTAAAGCATGCAGAGAACTGCGAGAGCGGGGAGATGCCACTGGGGCTGTGAGAGGCCTCCGAATCTGTCTGTCCTTCCTCAAAGCAGAAGGCGCCCAATCCCGCCGGCTTGGCTCCCGCCTGCCGCGGAAGGGGTGGGGTGGGAGGAACCCAGTCTCAGCCCAGCCACCAGGCGGGAAGACCCCCGCAGTCCACCTGAAGGTCCCAGCGCCTCTGGCAAGGGGTAAAACTCTTGCGTCTCCAGACCTGGGGTTCCAGCCTTCCCCAGGCACCGCCTCAACTCCACGTCAACATCCCTCAAAATCCCGAGGAGGAAGGGTTCCTGTCTGGGTTTGGTTTAAAAAAAGGCTTTCACGTTGGCAGCCCAAGGGGAGCAGTAAACAGGGAACCTGGGTCCATTGCTGGGTCCTGGGGCTCCAGCTCACCTCTGGGAAGCCAACCTCAGAATTTCAGACGGTCCTCACCCCCTGTTCTTCTACTGCTGATAGTAAGACTCCTTAAAGAGGCCGGCAGCCAGGGAGAGGTCTGCAGGGACCAGGCTGGCCCACCCCCACCGAGGCGCTCCGATCCCCACCTGGGGAGCATGGCTGTCTCTTGAGACACCTTCTTGGCTGGGGGGATGCCGGGAGGGACCCAGGCCAGGCTCCTGAAGTACCCCGTCTCCTTGGGGGGTGAGGGGGCGGGCACTGCCCCCCTTTTTGCCCGAAGGTGCGTGCTTACCGCTCTGGCCTCGCCGGGTCCGGGGGCCTCGGAGGAGGCGCCGGCGCCCCCAGCGCGGGCGTCGAGGATGCCAGGCGCCAACGAGTAGAAGGGCGGGCTGGGGCTGGGGCTGGGGGGTAGCCCGGAGTCGGGGCTGTCCAGCACGCCCTCCCGGCTCTTCTCCTTGAGGCTCTCCTCCATGCCCTGCAGATGCAGGTGGCCCACCATGTCTGGGGGGCGCGGGGCGCAGGCCCCCGGCTTCTCGGGGGGCTCCTCCACCGCGCTCCGGGGCCCGTCCGCCGGGCCCTCTCTGCACCTTCCCGGCCGCGCCTCCTTTTCTAGGCGCCTCCTCCTCCCTCCTCTCTCCTCCTCCCGGCCCACCCCGCCCCCGGCCTCCTCCGCGGTGGGCAACCGCCCCGGCCGGCGCCTCCGCCAGCCCGCGCCCGCGGGGACTGCACAGCTCGACGTTCTGTGTGTTTTAGTCGCTCAGTCGTGTCTGACTTTTTGCGAACCCATGGGCTGTAGCCAGCCAGGCACCTCTGTCCATGGGGATTCTCCAGGCACTGGAGTGGGTTGCCATGCCGGCTCCGGCGAATCTTCCCAACCCAGGGATCGAACCCGGGTCTCCTGCATTGCAGGTAGATTCTTTACCATCTGAGCTACCTGAGAAGCCCTACAAGCCGCCCGAATAAACACCCCCAGTGGCAGCACTGGGGGGTGATTCATGGGGTCCTCAAGCCATCGTAACAGCAGTAGTAGTAGTCGTGTCTGATGTAACCTTTCGAGGTTTCCTTCCGCTCACTAAAGTCCCAGTAAAAGAATCTTCAGAGATCTGTTTTAGAAAGTCTCTAACTTAAAATGGAAATGGCAACCCACTCCAGTACTCTTGCTTGGAAAATTCCATGGACGGAGGAGCCTGGTAGGCTACAGTCCATGGGGTCGCAAAGAATCGGACACGACTGAGCGATTTCAATGTCAATGTCAACTTACAATGGAAGGGGCGAAAACAAGATGCTTAAACGCTCACCAGGCTTCAAGACCCGTTCCTTGGCTCCTCTCTTTCCAACGCGACTGTCCACCCCTCTGTTTACCTTCTAAGATAGGAACCAGTGGCCAGGGGTACTTGTGTCTCCGTCATCGATCATCCGAGGCCAACACACTGGGCCTTTGCGGGTGGAAAGCACTGAGTGAAAATGGGGCTGGGGGAGGTGACCTGGAGATTAGAAATATGTCCTGAATCCTCCAGCATTTTGCTGTGTGCCTAGTTTCTTCCAAGCAGGTTCTTGCTCGCTGAGAAAGGTCTCACCCATCTTTTCCCTGTTTTCCTTCCTTGGAAGGGAGAAGGCACTTGCTTCCCTTTCTTCAGGTGACTGATAAGGGGGTCCTTACATTTCCAGGTCCCACCCACCCATCTACCCACACACACATTCCTACATCATCCCCAGGTGAGCCAGCCTTCCATTCTGAAAGTGGGGACTTCAGATGACTGATAAAGGGGACCCTTACCTTTTCAGCTCCCACCCACTCAGCCACTCCGCAACACCTCCATGTGATCCAGCGTTCCATTCTGAAAGCAGGGAACCCAGGGATATCTGCAGGTTGCTTTGAAAGGACCAGAGGAATGTGGGAGAGGCTCATATTCTAGCTAAGGGAACAGAGGTCGCAGGGAAGGTGTGAGAGTGTGGACAGATACACTAGTTTAGTTTCTCTTTGGTGTCTGCTCTTCAGACAGCCCCAAACTGAAGGCACCACCTTCAAGCATGTTCATCCCATCAGGATTGATCAAGCCCCCAATGTGCCCCCAGCCCTGGCTCAACCTCAGAACTACCCAAAAGCAAGATAGTCCAGCTCTGGGGTGCCCAGTCTGATGAATGGGGGAAGCAACTCTGTGAGTTTCAGGGAGGAAATTAACAAGGAACTGCCAGCAAGAACCATTAGCAGGACACTTTCTTGCTGGGGTGCTGATGGAAGTTGACTCTGAGAAGGTGACATTTTCAGATGAGTCCTAAATAACTACATGTGAGCTGGAGGAAGAAAATTAGCCTTCCAGGTGGGGGACACCAAGGACAAAGGTGCTCTCAGAAGTGAGAATGAGGTTCATTCCAGGAAGGCACGGAAGGGTGGGGTACCTTCCTTCAAGTGTGTGTGTGGTGGGGTGGGGGGCATAGAGGGACATGTTATCAATAATTTACAGCCCATTTCCATATCAACCAGGAAGATCATGGGCCGCCTGCTGCCCAAACAGAACTTTGAATATCTGGAGCATTCTGGAGAAAAACCATAGAACTGACTGCTTCAATTCTTGGACAAGACAGGAATTCCTCAGCCTTGGGCTCCTTGACCAGAAACACATGGGTGACTTATCATTCACAGGACAGAAGTGGGGGACTGTGCCTTCCAGAACATGAACACATTAAGATGCGCTTTCTTTTTCTTCATTTTTTTTTTGGCCGCTCCACAAGGCATGTGGGATCTCAGTTCCCCAACCAGAGATCAAACCCACATCCCTTACAGAGGACACTCATAATCTTAACACTGGACTGCCAGGGAAGTTCCAAGATGCACTTTCCCCAGATGCTCACCCACTCGAGTCCACAGAAGAGAGCTTGCATCCACTGCTGGGCTGCCCTGGAAAAAAATCTTTGACAAGAACTGATTGCTTCTTATACCAGGCAGCAGCATCCACGGAGGGCAGGTGGGGGGCTGGGGGCGGTGTGCAGGGCAGACTTGCATCCTTGAACAGTTATCTTGACTTTATTTAACGTGTTGCTCTGTTGCTCACCTGGAATTTTTTGTATCAAGTTAGACCTGTAAAACATTGCAATAAAATAATATTTGTCATGATTTCTGAGTATGGGACATTTCCTTTTTTTTTTGGCCATGTACTATTCAGGATGTTAGTTCCCCGACCAGGGATCGAACACATACCCCCTGCATCGGAAGCTCAGAATCTTAACCATTGGGCCACCAGGGAAGTTCCTGGGACATTTCCTTAAATTTTGTTCTCTAGGCGAGTGCCCCACTCTCCTCCCCCAATCCTGGCTCTCTTGTGCCATTCAGGCTTATTAGATGTGCCTTCANAAATATTAAAAAAAAAAAAAAAAAAGAATGAGCTGATGCAAATTGCTTCTGAAGTTGGAGTAAAGAGGGGAGAGTGGAGACAGAGAAAAATTGGGTAAAGTCAATATTTAACAGAAAAGCAATATAAGGATACCCCGACAAGGGGTCCAGAAGTGGGTATCCAATATTGGAGAGACAGAGATTCAGGTACCACACACTTCCAGGAAGGAAGAGGTTCGTTCAGCAGCTCAGGCAGTCACCTACTTTTAAGAAAGGTGACTTAGGGTAGTCCCAAGTTCCATGGGGCTCACCCAGCACTCCAGCCTCAGGGGGACTTGCTCGGAGCTGCTTTGTAAGGAAGAGAAGCTCAATGCTGGGAGAAGGAAAGGCCAGCGGATGAAGGGGAAGGGCACAGAGGAGAAAAGGCTTTTTCATGGAGAGCCATTAGCCACTTGTTCCAAGCAGCAGTGAGCAACATTCATGAGGTGGGGCTGTGCCTTCTGGGATAGTTGACAAAGGCCCCTGCACACGCACTGTCTCACCCTGGAACCACGCAAACTACCCTGACGCTCCAGATTCGCGTGCATTCCTTCCAATTTGAAATAGAGCAGCTCAATCCATGGAGGCTCAGAGAGGGTAAGTGATTTGCCTGTGGTCACACAGCTGTGAAGATGAAAGCAGAGTAGAGGCCTTGAGGATGGATATGGGGGAAAGTTGTCAGTGGGTCCCAATGTATTGTGAAATGGGCGAGGCAAGACTAAGGTCCCAGTGCCTGACGAGGCATTCCCCTGACCTGCACAGAGAACCCCAAAGCAAACAGCCCATCTGGGGAGCAAGCTGAAGACCCCAAAGGCCCAGTGAGTGGAAAGCAAAGATTTGGCTTATGTGACATAGTGATTGTTCACAGATCACCTCCCAGCTTGCCAACTGCCCTGGAAGTTCCTTGGGGACAGGGCTTGGCACTCCTGTTTCCTGGTGGGCTGTGCGCAACATACACAGCAAGTCTGAGTAATTGTTCTGCATCAGAAGGGCCCTAGTCACTCACATAGCTGTCCCCGGGGAGGCGGTGGCCAGTTCATTTAATCAGATCTGTATAGTTCCCCAGGTTTCCTGCTTGGCTCAAATAGTAAAGAATATGCCTGCAATGCAGGAGACCTGGGTTTGGTCCCTGGGTTGGTCAGATCCCCTGGAGAAGGGAATGGCAACGCACTCCGGTATTCTTGCCTGGAGAGTCCATGGACAGTGGAGCCTAGTGGGCTACAGTCAGTGGGGTCACAAAGAGTCGGACACGACTGAGTGACTAAGCGTGCGCGCGCACACACACTTATAGTTCCCCATAGCTCCTCAATGGTTGACATCATGTTCTGGAAAGACTGGCAGAATATGGAGAATTATATCACCTTTAGAGACGAGAAAACAGAGAGAGTAATTGTTTTGCCTAAAGTCACACAGCAGAGACCATTCTTCAGATCCTCATCTGGGATCCATCTTGGTGATTACTCAGGGGTCTGTCTGCAACAAGGAGCTGCCCCTCTGCAGGGGTCGAAGTCAAAACCCACCCAGAAGTGCCCTTCTTCCTCCACGAGGATTTGGTTCCCACAGGCAGATCGGAGCTTGTCTGCTCTTAGTTCAGGAGCTTCCATCAGAGTCTAGATGAGGGGCTCTTGCTGGCAGGAATGGGGTGTACCGGTGGCTGTGGTCACGAATGTAATTACAACCCCCCCCACTTCCAGGAGAGCTCCCACTGGAAGGAAAGGGGTCTTGCTGTCCGCATGCTTGGCTGCCCGGGTTGGAATCTCAGTCCTGTGTGATTTGGGTAATTTTCATGTTCTCTCTGTGCTTAAGTGTCCCCACCCATAAAGTGGGGACGTTAATACAGGAATTAAATGAGGATTAAATCCACTGGGATTAAGTGTAAGCTTAACTAGAGTCAGCTTCCAGGTCTGCCAGTGCCAGGCTGAGCCCTCGGCGCAATGCCAGCGAAAATTCTCCAGGCTTGGCCCTCCCCTGCTCTTAATCACAGTACCTCATTTCCTCTCTAGTTAAAGTGAGCAAAGTAATTAATATATTAAATATGTATATGTATATCAACATACAATCAATATTGAATACCTGTGTATATGTATATAAGCACACGTACACATGCACACATATATATTAATATATGC